CACACTCACTCTCACACACACACACACTCTCTCACACACACACACACACACTCTCTCACACACACTCACTCACTCTCACACACTCACTCTCACACTCTCACTCTCACACTCTCTCACACTCACTCTCTCACACACACTCACTCTCACACACTCACTCACACACTCACTCACACACTCACACTCACTCTCACACACACTCACTCACACACACTCACTCTCTCACACACACTCACTCTCACACACTCACACTCACTCAGACTCTCACTCTCACACGCTCACTCTCACACGCTCACTCTCACACGCTCACTCTCACACGCTCACTCTCACACGCTCACTCTCACACGCTCACTCTCACACGCTCACTCTCACACGCTCACTCTCACACGCTCACTCTCACACGCTCACTCTCACACGCTCACTCTCACACGCTCACTCTCACACGCTCACTCTCACACGCTCACTCTCACACGCTCACTCTCACACGCTCACTCTCACACGCTCACTCTCACACGCTCACTCTCACACGCTCACTCTCACACGCTCACTCTCACACGCTCACTCTCACACGCTCACTCTCACACGCTCACTCTCACACGCTCACTCTCACACGCTCACTCTCACACGCTCACTCTCACACGCTCACTCTCACACGCTCACTCTCACACGCTCACTCTCACACGCTCACTCTCACACGCTCACTCTCACACGCTCACTCTCACACGCTCACTCTCACACGCTCACTCTCACACGCTCACTCTCACACGCTCACTCTCACACGCTCACTCTCACACGCTCACTCACTCTCACTCTCACACTCTCACTCTCACACACTCACACACTCTCACACAAACTCATATGAACGGCTTCATTTTAATGAGTCAGTCACAAAGATTCACTCAGGAGTCAGAAGTTTGAATCAGACTCTTTGTTCAGATTTGTGAAGCTGACAAACAACAGCATCACTGAATATGAAGTCACTTCCGGTTAGGTCCAATTCATTTATTTGGTCCAGTTTATGAGACTTGCATTACTCTGATTACAGAATGGCTCTATGAGTAGTGTAACTATTTCAATTACTTTATTAATGTAACTGATTACATTTGATTACTTGTCTAAATTTCTAATGTTTTCATCTATTAATCATTTTGAAACATGTAAAGCAGGCAGGGTTAACATTACAGTAGAACTCAACACTGATTACTGTCAGACTTTCACAATCCTTCATCACTTGAATTAAGAATTCATTTAAAGCACAGCCCCCAAAATATCAGACTTTAGCACCTCTTTTTACTTTGAGATCATTCTGAGGTTAAATACAAATTTAAAATCATAAATTATAGTTTAATAGTTATGATAGTCAAATCATTGTATAGGAAACACTGGCATCTAACAATGACTTGTTAGATGCCAAAATAAAGCATTCGCATAAACCTAAATAGGAAATAAAATGGTTATTGAATAAGTATGTGTCCTATTCTGTATCTTAAACTCCTGAAACATTGGTGTCTCATATTTTAGAGCAGTTAATGCAATTTATGAAAGTCGTCAATTAAATCTGTTTGTGTGTGAAAATATTCAGATGTAATCCCCTTTGTAATCGTTAACATTTTCATAAGTATCTGTAAATTAATTACACATTTTTTTCTCAATAACTGTAACATTACAGTTACATTTATTTTGTAATTAAATTACATAATTCCATTACATGTAACTACTTACTCCCCACACTGATAATATCTGACATGAAAAAAAAAATCAAATAAATTGTTACATATAGAAAAAAAACAAACAAAAAAAACATGAATTTATATAACTGAAACCCTTAGTCTATATAGTAAAACATGGCTTCCTCACAGTGCTGTTAAAGACTCGCGAGGCGACTGCACTCAAACTAAACTACTCTGACCTTCCTGTCATTCTGTCATTTATCCACTAAGCATCATTTGCCGTCTCTTTTAACTTTGGAACACTTTTGGCAGCCCATGTGTTTGACCTGTAATGCCACACCCACTTTCCTTTCACATTTTTCCTGAACAGCTGCCGCAAAAGAAAGCGAAACACAAGCTGCTGTGAAAACCCAGAGAAAGCAAGTGTAAGCTCTCTATAGACTCACCTCGTGTCTGAAGGAGGTCAATCTCTTTGGTTAAACAATCAATATCGATCTGTAGAAGTCTATTCTTACACCTCAATTGCTGCATCTCCTTAATCTGAAAATAAATTTAGATGAACATGTCAAGTGCGTAAAAGTGAATTGCGTTGTTCTATATTTAACGGTTTGTTACTTTGCATCACGTCCATCATAAAAATCAGATATACAGACCAGATATACTCCCTAAATGCATCTGACTCAAGTGTGCTCAAGATTACTGACATCTAGAAAAAAACATGTTCCGAGGCAACTTGCATAGATTTAAGCATATCGAGAAGAGGAAAAAAATCACAAATTGCACCAATTTCATAAAGAATCATACTCAAACTGTTGTCAGAGCATATGTGTCCCTGCAGCACAAAAGCAGTGTTAAGTCGCTGGGGTATATTTGTAGCAATAGCCAACAATACATTGTATGGGTCAAAATTATACATTTCTCTTTTATGCCAAAAATCATTAGGATATTAAGTAAAGATCATGTTCCATGAAGATATTTTGTAAATGTCCTACCGTAAATATATCAAAACTTAATTTTTGATTAGTAATATGCATTGCTAAGAACTTCATTTGAACAACTTTAAAGATGGTTTTCTCAATATTTAGATTTTTTTGCACCCTCAGATTCCAGATTTTCAAATAGTTGTATCTCCAAATATTGTCCTATCAAATATTGTCCTATCCTAACAAACAATATCAGTCCTATCCTATCAAACCATACATCAATGGAAAGATTATTTATTCAGCTTTCAGATGATGCATAAATCTAAATTTCGAAAAACTGACCCTTTATGACTGGTTTTGTGGTCCAGGGTCACAAATATGCCCTAATCTAGAGGAGATGTTTTCCTAAAAGTATAAACGTACAGATGGTATCTGACAGGCTGAGTTGGAGCGCTGCATTCGTCTCCGTGTGAGGTCATTCTCCATCTCGTTGACTTCTTCTTTCAGCTTCTCCAGCTTTCTCTTCTTCTGCTCCAGTTCGTGCCACAGTCGCTCCATGCGTGCTCTCTGATGCACCAGCAAAGCTGCAAGTTCACACGGACCATCGTCAGATACACGTGGAATGAAACTAATCACACAAAAACAATACTGCAGAACATCTGATCAACTAGCATTTTGCATCACGTGAGCATTTAGTCGTCTGAGACTCAATATATACTGCATTCCAAATGGCATAAACGATGCACTCATATTTGGTAAGCAAATTATGCAAATTAAGCTGCTGTGATGTCTATTAATCAAAGGACAAAGAAAAAAAAAGAGGAAAAAATTACCTTTATAGCTTTAAGGATTCATCTATATTTAATTTAGAATTTAGTGTTTGATAACTTACATTTCAATTACTGTATATTTCTGCTGAAGAGCACAGGTAAATATTACATTTATTATAATGGGTTTATGTGAAAATTGTTTTAAGTTCACCTTTTTTAAAGTCTAATAAATGTTAAAATTGATAGCTCTCAATTATACTGTAATGTTGAATGGCTAGTCAATAGTTAAAAATTAGGAGGGAAAACAATTTTATAGAGACATCAGTAGTATCGGTATCAGAGACTGGCCTTCATTCATAAAAAAAGATTCCATTAAACAAATATACTATGTTGTTTGTACATTAATTTGAAGATTGAATGTGAAATTATTGCAATATAAAAGTATATTTAAAAACTTTAATGTTAGGTGGGATTAATCGCGATTAATTTCAGAAAAATGTGCAATTAATTAGTTAATTTTTTTAATCGATTGACAGCACTAGTTATTACATTAACTATTTTTACTGGAGGTAAAATACGCTGTAAAATTCACATGCAGTCCAGAAATTGAGAAACTACTGAGATGGTCTAGAAGTTCTGGTAATTATTACATTACCCCACCTTCCTATAACACTAATCTCATCGGAATTGGACCGTACACCCGTTCACAAACATGTCCAAATACATATAAAACACACACACGCCCCATTAACAGCTTTAACAGTGTGTAATGATCTAGTGATGCCAGAACATATACAAGCATTGAGGGGTCTTTAAAGTAGTTTAAACTTGGTTATTCAACAGACCAATATGAAAATTGGAAGCTTAAAAAAAAAAAAACTAACACTAGCTTCTCTAATCTTTTTGTATTCTATCTATTTTTTATTTATTATACAAGGGCACATTGGGGAATGCAGCCTGCATGACCGGTGTCTGAAGCACGTGTGAAACAACGCCAATCAATTGGTCCACCTGGCCCACGTCATGGGCGGGATGCCCGGAAGTATAAAAGGGCACCTGCTGAGTACGTCATTCCCTTTGCTGTCTTCAGGAGTCGTGTGTTTGAAGTGCGTGTGATAGACCAAGGCGGGTGAGCGTTGTGGAAAGTGTGTGCCTCCGTGCCCGAGGTTTCTGACACTTGAGGACACACACGATCTATGCGTTAAGTGTCAGATGCCACAGATACTATTGGGTTGTTATGACGAAGTGTGACCTCGGAGTCGTTTCAGCCTGCTCCTGCGAGATCGTGGGCGGAGCTATAGTCAGCTCGGCTGTGCCTCTCTAATATGCATGTTATTGTGTGTGGAGTGCTTCGCTGGGCATGAATATATTTAAATACTCTGTGGAGAGAGACTTGCAAGCTTTCTCTCCCAGGGTGTTTCAGCACCTAGAGTGGTTATGGGGAATTTCTCTTCCTGAGTTAAGCCGGATGGGTTTAGGAGTGGGCTGCCTCCCCAGGTGTCTGGGTAGTTTTAAGTGGGCGGTCCCTCTGAATCCCGCTTAGTGGGTTTGGGCTAAGTACACTGCTCCCCCTCTTCAGGGCTTAAGTAAACAGTCCCTACTCAGAGTGTAGCTGTCTGCAGATGGTTATGCTCCAGTTCAAGCTTATTTTGCTCTGGAATATGGCGGTCTGAGGGCAGCTATGTTCTAGCCTGGCTTGGGTTCCCCTTGGCACAAGTTCTCTCGATTAAGCGCTGAAGTCTTTGTCTAGGAATCTGCTATTCGAGGATAGCTGTGTTCCAGCTCGGAGACTGCTCCCCTTTTTAGGGTTTTTAAATAGTGGTCTCCGTGAGCCCCTTGCATGGACTGTGTTGTCTCCCCTTGCGATCTTCAGCCTTACCTGAGGGAACTGCTATTCGAGGATAGCTGTGTCCAGCCCTCTAGTGTTTTGGCCACAGCTTACATCAGGCTTTGATCTCGGACTAATGATGTTTATGTGTTCGCTCTTAACAAATCATTTACTGATGGCCCAGATCTCCCTCTTGTGAGCTCCTGGTCAATGACATGGTGTTTCGCTAGCCTACTGTGGGACTGACATGGACTGGGAACCTCCTTAGCATAGCCATCTGAGGATGGTTATATTTCAGCCATTGTTATGGCAGGATGGGCTTACTTGAATACAGCTATCTGAGGCTAGCTGTGTCTTACTGGCAGTTCTGGTGAGCCCTCTCCTGGAGTGATCCCCTTTCCTAGAGCCTAGCTAACTGAGGATAGCTATGTGATAGCTCAGTGATTGCTCCCCTGCCTAGGGTTTTAAGTAGCGGTCTCCTTGAGCCCTTGCCTAGACAGTGTTATCTCCCCTGCTAGGGTTGTAAGTAGATAGCCCACTCTCTATGGTCTGGGCAGCTTTGCAGGAAGGTTTTGTCTGGCTATCTAGGCTAGCTGTGTATGGTTATTCTGGTCTACAAGCCTTCTTAAGACCTATAGGACATAGCTATCTGAGGATAGCTGTGTTCTTGCTCTGCAGCTATTTCTCCTTACCGGGATTTAAGTAGCAATCTTTGAGCTCCTCTAGTGGCTTTCTAGTTAGTCTCTTCAGTGGTCTTGTGTATCCAGGCTTATATGGCTCACATAGCATAGCTATCTGAGGATAGTTGTGCTCTTAACTTGGGTGGGATGTTCCCCTTGATCTAATCGGGTTCCCCATTTCTGCCAAACTGTGTGAGTGGCCCGTGGCGCAGTGGCATGGCCCCTTTCTGAGGAAAGGCTTTGTTTATGTCTGTCGCTTCCTTGGTGCTCCCCCACCAGGTGGACAGGCATGCGCCTCGGCATGACATGGTTGGATTTTGTTCCCCAATATGCCCCCTAGGGGCACAGCGTGGAGTTCCCTAGAAGGGGAACATCTCGGGTTACGCATGTAACCATGGTTCCCCGAGAGGGAACGAGACGCTGCGCCCCCTCGCCATGCCTACGGCCTGCCTGTTTACGTCTCCTTCAGACAGCTAAGTGGATGACGTATTCAGCAGGCGCCCTTTTATACTTCCGGGTATCCCGTCTATGACGTCATGGGCCAGGTGGACCAATAGATTAGCGTTGTTTCACACATGCTTCAGACACACCTGGTGGTGGTAGTGTGATGATCTGGGGCTGCTTTGCAGCTTCAGGACCTGGACGACTTGCCATAATTGATGGAACCATGAATTCTGCACTCTATCAGAAAATCCTGAAGAAGAATATCCGGCCGTCAGTTTGTGAACTCAAGCTCAAGCGCACTTGGGTTATGCAGTAGGACAATGATCCCAAACACACCAGCAAGTCCACATCTGAATGGCTCAAGAAAACGTCTCGGGTTACACATGTAACCATGGTTCCCCGAGAGGGAACGAGACGCTGCGTCCCCTTGACATGCCTACGGCCTGCCTGTTTACGTCTCCTTCAGACAGCTAAGTGGATGACGTATTCAGCAGGCGCCCTTTTATACTTCCGGGTATCCCGTCTATGACGTCATGGGCCAGGTGGACCAATAAATTAGCGTTGTTTCACACATGCTTCAGACACCGGTCATGCAGGCTGCATTCCCCAATGTGCCCTCTAGGGGGCGCAGCGTCTCGTTCGCTGTGGATCTCGCGAGCCAGATTTGAGGATCACTGCTATAGATCTTCCGTACTAAAAAAAAAATATTGAGTGAAAATTTTTCTACACACGAAATATGAAAGCAAATAGACAAGATTATGACGATATATTTTCTGCATGTGTTTTGTGTGCAGCTCATGGTATTTTTCTAACAAGAAAAGGATGTTGACAAATGATAAGCAGTGTAGCGTTATTAAACATACAAAGAGTGCATGTCTTCTTATTATAGAATCAAAATCAACTATAGATCACAGTCAGAAGTTATTCCAAGCACTTGATGATGGTTTAAAGTGGGTTTTAAACAAATACATTAATTACATACATTTTCAAATGTGGCTTGATGCAAATTGTACCTCTAATTACATTTTAGGATTTATTCTTGTAAGCATTATAGATAGTTTGTGTTTCTGGTGTAGAACCAAACTTTATTTATCTTAATTTAAGGCTGTATATTGAGCAGCAGACGATGTTAAATCCATATACGAGATACATATCTGAGGAAAAATCCGTGACCTTTGCCCCCGACCTGGTAAAGGCCCAGGTGCTGAGGAGGCTGCGGCTTGCGAGTGGACTCCATGGTGGCGAAGGCGCTGAGGCTCGCGGGCGTGTGTGCCGGCACAGACGGCGTTTCGGGCTGGTAGAACTCGGAGAGAGAGGATGGTACGGTCAAAGGCCCATCGCTCGCGCTGGGGGTGACAGTCCTGCTGCCATTCATCCTCATTACATCTCGCTGCACGGCGCCATGGGTATTCTGAGAGATGCCGAGGTTGAGCTGGGTCATGTGATTGCGAAGATCTGTCGAACTCTGGCTGCCTTCGCTATACAAGAAACCAGGACTCACCTTGGTCAGGTACTCGCAACACGCAGCTAAATTGTTCTTATTCTGGGGAGAGAAGAGAGAGACAAGTCTGTCAGCTTCAGATCGAGTAGATACTGTATGTGTGGGTCACTTTTGTATACAGTTAGTTCCATATGTATTTGGACACAGGCACAATTTTTATTATTTTAGCTGCTGACCAAAACACATTCAAGTTAGAGTTATATAATGAATATGGGCTTAAAGTGCACACTCTGAGCTTTAATTTGAGGGTATTCACTTCAAAATTGGAGGTTAAAGGTTAAGGAATTACAGCTCTTTAATATGTACCTCCCCCCTTTTTCAAGGGACCATAAGTAATTGGACAGTTGACTCAAAAGCTGTTTCTTGGACAGGTGTGGGCTATTCCTTCATTATTTCTACATCAATTAAGCAGGTAAAAGGTCTGGAGTAGGGATGTTCATTTTAACCGGTTAACCTAACCGACCGTAATAATTTTGACCGATTAATACAATCAGTTAAATGGTTTAAAAAGTCATTTATTTATGTTTTTTTTTTTTTCAGTAATTTACCAAAATATTTAAAAAGGTTTGCTGCATGGTTAAAATACGCTACGCACATAAAAAAATTGTGTTTTTTAGGGAAAAGAAAAAAAACATAAGTCGCGTATAAGTCGCATTTTATTATTTCATTTTCAGAGAAGGTGCTGGCTCTTTTTAAGGATAAATTGGATTTGGATCCACTCAACATTGGTATACAGAAAGTTCAACGAGTTGGAAAAGCTCTTAAAGTACAGGATGAAATCCGGAGTCGGCCTCGCCCAACAATGGTGTCGTTTTTAAGAATCAAGGACAGAGATCGAGTGATGGCCAACGCGAGAAAGCTGAAGGGTTCGAATATTTTTATAAACGAGGACTATCCTGAATCGGTTCGAAAGAGGAGAAAGGAACTGATTCCTAAAATGAAAGCTGCAAGAGAAAGAGGGGACATTGCTTTTCTTAAGGTAAGAAAGTCATTGTTCATAAGCGGCAAGCAAAGGAGAAGATGTGAGGATGTGACAAGGATCAAGGTGCGACGTGATGTGATGTGCTGTATATTGTGTCTATTGCCGTTTTATTGCCCAAAAAATATGTAAAGTTTGCTCATTTGAATATTTGTAGTTTGAGGAACAAAGTACATGAAGTTGCTGATTTGTTGCTATCAAATACAATTAATATTGTTGCTATATCTGAAACTCATTTGGATGAGACATTTGATGATAATGCTGTGTCTATAAGAGGATATAATTTATATAGAAGGGATAGAAATAAGTACGGTGGAGGTGTTGCCTTTTATGTGCAGAATCATATTTCTGTAAGAGTAAGGGATGATATCATGTGCAATGAAGTGGAGGTTCTATGGCTGCAAGGTAATACACCTCATGTCAAGCCAATGTTAGTAGGATGTCGTTATAGGCCACCAGGTTCAAACCATAAATATTTAGAAGACATGGGTGAGATGCTGAATAAGGTATGTGAATTGAATATAGAAGTTGTTTTTTTAGGTGATCTTAATATTAATTGGTTAGTACATGAGTGCTTTTTAAAGAATCAAATGGTAAATATAATAGATGCATGTGGATTGAAACAGACGGTAAGACAACCAACGAGAATAAGCATAAATAATAAGGGCAAGTCCACGTTATCTTGTATAGATCATATTTATTTGAGAAATGAAGATTTGTATACGGCAGCAATTTCAGTTGAAGTAGGTTGTAGTGATCATAATACAGTTGTGATTGCAAGGAAAAACTAAATTTCCAAAGCTAAGCAAAGAATTGTGTATAAAAGGTCATATAGAAGGTTTTCCCAGGAAGCTTTCTTGAGGGATATTGATAATATAAAGTGGTCAGAGATTTATGATGTAGAAGAACCAAATAATGCACTTGAATTATTCATTAGAAAATTTCAGCCAATTATTGATAATCATGCGCCTGTTAAGAAATTAATTATAAAGGATTGTAGAGTGTCCTGGATTGATAGCGAATTAAAGGACTATATGGCTCAGAGAGACGAGGCTTTGAAAAAAGCAAAAAAACTGGTAGTGTAACGGATAGACAGAAATATTGTAAATTGAGAAATTATGTCACAGGTCTTAATAAAAAGAAAAAGAAACAATATTATACATTACAGTTAAGTAGTAAGAAGAAAGATGGGAAGAAGCTTTGGAAGGTATTAAATAATATAATGGGAAGACAGAAGTCCTCACAACCTGCTTCAATTGACTGTGAAGGTACTTATATGACAAAACCTGAAGAAACTGCTAATTATTTTAATGACTTTTTTAGCAGTAAGATACAGAATTTGAGTAAAGAAATATCGTATGTGACAGAAGATACCTCTTCAATTCTTAATATAAAGAACTATATGAGAAATAATAACTGTTATTTTGAGTTTAGTGAAATTGGGAGAAGAAACTGTGAAAAGGCTAATAAAATCTGTCTGTAAAGACAAACAACCAGGTAGTATATGATCAAATACAGGATTATGTGTCACAGAATAATCTGATATCAAATTATCAGCATGCTTTTAGAAAAGGACACTCCACATGTGCAGCTTTAGCACAAATAACAGATGATTGGTATCGAGGGTTGGATAAAAAAAAGGATATGCGGAGCAGTCTTATTAGATTTTACAGCTGCATTTGACCTTATAAGCTTCTTTTGGAAAAGTTGGAGAGTTATAGATTCAGACCATCAGTAATTGCTTGGATGGAAAGTTATTTGGATAACAGATCACAGAGAGGTTTTTTTAACGGAAGTTACTCAGACAGAAAAAAAAACTGAATGTGGAGTTCCACAAGGGAGCTGTTTAGGACCACTTTTGTATTCCATTTTTACAAATGATTTATATCTGGTATTAAGAAGTGCTAAATTAACAATGTATGCAGACTAGGATGTTCATTTCGGTTATTTTACCTAACCGACAACCGACGCTCGTTAACTGATTATTAACCGTTAGGGATGTTCATTTCGGTTATTTTTCCTAACCGACGCTCGTTAACCGATAACCGACAAGATTATTTTAAATTAGAATTTAATAAAATTAGAAAGGATAAGTGTCTGTGACCCATTAAAAATACTAACATTTGTTTCCCGGGGATTAATTTTACAAAAGCAGCAAACAACAGAACATGAGGATTCACTCGATCATCATATCACATCACACACCTGCAGCGCTTCTGCCAGCGGAGAAAAACATCATAAAGCTAGGCTATATACTGTATGTGTATGTATGT